TCACCCAAGTTATTAATAAATATCTTATAAACCTCTACCTTTTCCCTCTGCTGCCATATCTCCTCCCCTTGCTCCATCAGCTCCCCTGGTGCCTGCTGCCCCCCAACCCCTCACCCTTCTCTGCTGTTCTGACTCCTGCCCTTCTCACTGCCCTCAGCCTTCCTGAGATCTGCCCCTCTCCACCAGTCCTCCTTTCCTCTCTGTGTCCACTCATCTCACGTGAGCCACCCTTCCTCATTCCTACTCCTAACAACTCCCTCTACACACCTGCCCTGCCTCTTTCCTCAGGTGCTGGTCCCTCCCAGAATTCACCCCCTGAATCCCCTGGCACCTGCACCCTCCTGCTGCTTCCCCCTTCCCTCACTGCCCCTGCCTCCTTTTTCCCTGATACCCACCCCCTCACCACACTCTGCCCCCGTTCCCCTCATGCCCCTGTGCCCTTACACATGCCTTGTTCCATCCTCACCTTCCTCATGCCCACCCCTTCTTTCAACCCTTCTCACAGCACCTCCCCCCTCTAGCCCCCACTGCCCTTACCCTCTCCTCTCCCAGCATCCCCCATGTTCCCCTCTCCCACTGATACCTCCCCTCCTGTCCTTTTCCTCATTGCCTGCACTGGCCCCCTGGAATTTGTCTCTCCTGCACCCCTGTCCCTTGGTGCCTTCCTCTTTCTTCTTCTCCTGACCTCCTCCCTTCCCTTTCCCTTAGCACAAGCCCCTTCCGCATATTTTTCCCCTCCCCACAGTCCAGTCCAGCCCAGCCCCTTCCCCTCCCCCAGGGCCAGCTCTAGGTTTTTTGCTGCCCCAAGCAAAACATTTTTTGGCCACCGCCAGCCCCCCCGTAGCCCTTGTGATGGGGCGAACAGGCCCCACATCGAAGGGCTGGGAGTAGCCCAGGCCCAGCTGACTGAAAGAGCCCTGCCCTTCCGGCCCTGTGGGGCATGCTCCCAGCAGAGCCAGCATATAAAGGCGGAGGGAGCCCAGCAGGAGAGGAGGCAGGGGCAGTGAGGGAGGACCCAGGCCGCATCCCCAGTGTCCCTGCAGCAGCTGACGCCAGAGCGAGGGTCCGCATCTACCCCTGGGAGTACTGCCAGCAGCCAACCCCGCCTGAGGGACCAGACCCCCTACGCCTCCAGCCCCGGCCATGGTAAGGACCACTGCTGAGGCAGATGGCTGGGAGGAACACCAGGGTGGTAGGAAGCAGCCCAGGGCAAGGGATCACTGACACAGCTTGGTGTGTATCAGCTGGAGTCCCCACCGAGCAGGCAGCGGCAAGAGTCCCTGCTTATAGGGCTCTAGGCTGGGACCCGGTGGAGAGGGAGGGCCCGGGTCGTGTGTGTGCGTGTGTGTGTGTGTGTGTTACACCCGAGGGGAGCAGGATGCAGTGGAGGCACAGAGAATGGGACAAGGGGGACTGGGTCTAGGGGCAGTGCAAGGAACAGGCAGCACAGAGAGGGCGGGGCAGGGGTGGGCGGGGGGGGGGGGGGGGGGGGCGCATAGGAGCTCTCACCAGTCCTCCGTACTGCCAGTGTCCTCTGCATCCCAGCAGCTAAGAGGATGTGTTTGTCCACCTTGGTAGTTCCAAACTAATTGAGCTGTAAGACCAGCCTTATATATTTCCTCTTTCCTCCCTCTAGATTCAGAAGGTGGGGAATGGCATTACTGGTCCTACCCAAATGTGCTGGATTGTGGTCCTTCGCTGTTCATCTCTGAGGGAAGCCATGCCTACTTTCTATAACCAGGAGCTGAATATTTTTAGGTTTGTCCCCAGACCCAGAATGGTTTTTGGAGCAAATCAAAAGCATTTTTGCACTGAAAAATGGCTGGAAACAAAAACAGACACGGGTCCAGGGGCAGACTGGCAATCAAAATAGTCCCGGGAAATGGGTTGAGAATGGCCCACTTTTTCACATCAAAGAATTTTTTAAAATTTATTCTTTGACCCCATTAGCCACAACCCTGACCACTGGTTAACCATGCCCCTGACCCCCATTAGCCAGGCATCTGGAGGTAACACTCTTGGGGCAAGATGGACACATGACCAGAAGTAAAAGGTGTCATGTGACCCCTCTAAGGACTTTTCCCACCATCCTCCTACCAATAGGAATTAGTTTGCCTCCCACCAACCCCCCGTCATGCAACTACACTGCAATTGCATTAACCCAATGTGTCTGACATTAACTTGGGGGCGGAGAGGCTGGGGGAAGTGTTCCCTCTAAGGCTGTGTCTAGACTACATGCCTCTGTTGTCAGAGGCATGTAGATTAGACACATAGGCAAATTCAAATGAAGCCGCGATGTATGGAATTTTGTGTTGAGCACCAGTACTGAATTCATGGGGCTTGTTTGGATGTGCCACTGTGGCATCCAAGTTATTAATAAATATCTTATAAACCTCTACCTTTTCCCTCTGCTGCCATATCTCCTCCCCTTGCTCCATCAGCTCCCCTGGTGCCTGCTGCCCCCCAACCCCTCACCCTTCTCTGCTGTTCTGACTCCTGCCCTTCTCACTGCCCTCAGCCTTCCTGAGATCTGCCCCTCTCCACCAGTCCTCCTTTCCTCTCTGTGTCCACTCATCTCACGTGAGCCACCCTTCCTCATTCCTACTCCTAACAACTCCCTCTACACACCTGCCCTGCCTCTTTCCTCAGGTGCTGGTCCCTCCCAGAATTCACCCCCTGAATCCCCTGGCACCTGCACCCTCCTGCTGCTTCCCCCTTCCCTCACTGCCCCTGCCTCCTTTTTCCCTGATACCCACCCCCTCACCACACTCTGCCCCCGTTCCCCTCATGCCCCTGTGCCCTTACACATGCCTTGTTCCATCCTCACCTTCCTCATGCCCACCCCTTCTTTCAACCCTTCTCACAGCACCTCCCCCCTCTAGCCCCCACTGCCCTTACCCTCTCCTCTCCCAGCATCCCCCATGTTCCCCTCTCCCACTGATACCTCCCCTCCTGTCCTTTTCCTCATTGCCTGCACTGGCCCCCTGGAATTTGTCTCTCCTGCACCCCTGTCCCTTGGTGCCTTCCTCTTTCTTCTTCTCCTGACCTCCTCCCTTCCCTTTCCCTTAGCACAAGCCCCTTCCGCATATTTTTCCCCTCCCCACAGTCCAGTCCAGCCCAGCCCCTTCCCCTCCCCCAGGGCCAGCTCTAGGTTTTTTGCTGCCCCAAGCAAAACATTTTTTGGCCACCGCCAGCCCCCCCGTAGCCCTTGTGATGGGGCGAACAGGCCCCACATCGAAGGGCTGGGAGTAGCCCAGGCCCAGCTGACTGAAAGAGCCCTGCCCTTCCGGCCCTGTGGGGCATGCTCCCAGCAGAGCCAGCATATAAAGGCGGAGGGAGCCCAGCAGGAGAGGAGGCAGGGGCAGTGAGGGAGGACCCAGGCCGCATCCCCAGTGTCCCTGCAGCAGCTGACGCCAGAGCGAGGGTCCACACGGTTTATAGGGATGCCAGGGGGTAGGAAGCAGCCCAGGGAAAGGGGTTGCTAACACAGCTTGGTGTGTATCGGCTGGAGTCCCCACCGAGCCGGCAGGAGCAAGAGTCCCTGCCTTCAGGGCCCTGGGCTGGGACCCGGTGGAGAGGGAGGGCCCAGGTCCCCCTACTCCCCCCTTCTGCACCCTGGGCAAGCACCCCCGGCCGGGAGAGGCCTTTCCCGGAGGTAGGTCTCAAATACCGTATATGCTTTGACTTTGTACTGGGACTGCTGCTACCGTATATGCCTTGATGGAGGGGCATGGACTTTAGGTTGAGAATGGTAATGCCGTATTTCCCTGGATAGAGGGTTATGGACTTTTATGTTAGGACTGTTGGGGTTGTATTCACCCTGATACGATCCGGGGTGCAAGGGAGCAGGGACGGCTTGGGGAACGAGCGGCGAGGAGACAAGGGGGCGCGGGGCGGGCGCAGCGAGCGGGGCGGTCGGCAGGGAGCGGTCTCTCGCTGGCGAGAGGGCTGGGGCCATGTGTGACGGCATGTTGGGGGTCCCCTGTCTCCTGCACCCCGAAATGGCACAAACAGACTGCACCAGCCGGTGGAATAGAGGAAGTTTATTGCCTCTCCAGGTTACAGCACAGCACAGATGTAATCTGGTCACAGAGCTGGGCTAGGCTGCCTCAGGCCCCCTTGAGATGGGGGAGACTGGGCCCCTCAACTCCAGCCCCTTTCCCTAGGCTGTCTCCTCCATGCTTCCAGCCAGCAACTAACTAACTCTCTTCCAGCCCTGCCCCCCAGCCAGGGCAACATTCCACATTCCTTTGTTCCTCTCCATGGGGGGAGTCTGGCCATACTGGTTTGCATAGTGACTCATCCTGTTTTGCTAGGTCGTGGTACCCACGGCAGCCAGTGGGGGTTACCCCAGAGCCAGCAGCATAGAAACCAGCCAGGTACCCCCACAACGTCACACCATGGCAGGACTGGAGCCGGGGGGCAGGGCCTGGCTGTGCCGCGCACCACAGCCAGCTCCCAGGGGCACGGAGCCAGCGGGGAGCTGCCACAGCCCTTTAAAATTGGCGGGGCCACGTCCCGCCAGCGTCCCGCCCTCTGGCTCATGCCCTGCCTCCTCACGCCAGAGCTATGCAGGCACCCCGGTGACAAGAATCGCCGCACTTCCCACTCCCCGGTGGCGCTCTGCTCCTCCGCCGGCTGGCAGACCGGATGGGGCCACGTCACCCATAGTGCGGGCTTCGGCCAGCCTGCCCCTGCACTTGCCAGCTGGTAAAATCTACTCGCCACAGGCAAGCATATTTGTCAAGCCCTGCTTAATACCATTAGCTGATTGTATCTTAGCCATGAGAAAACATTTCCAAACAAAATTTTTGGGAAGCCTAGATTGGAACTAGTTTAAGAAAGTATCCTTTTTTTGTCTTCAGAGACATAGATCAACTTTTTGTTTGTTTGTAAACAGAGAAATTTGAATCTTAATCCATCATTCTGTACCCTGACCATAAATTTTGAACCTTTACAATTACCCTCTATTTGGAAATTAAATCATTTGGACTTCTTACCTTGTCACTTATTTTCTTTCCAGATTTCTTCTTTTTAGGATTATCCTTCCAGAGAGATTCTATAGCTACATATCCTTGCAGACTCCAGTCATACAACCTCAAACCAGTGACCTTTAAAACAAGAAGTCAGAAGATTAATCAGAACTATCTAAGAAGGATTTAGTCTTATTACAATTAAAATAGTTCCTGTCACGTTACTGAATTTTAACGTGAGTAGGCAGAGATCATTGTTGTACTTGCTATTGCAAATTCAGTGCAAAGTAGGCCATGTTAGGTGTCAAATTAAAGCTATTCTGGCTCAGTGTCTAGGATACCCATATACTTGTATGATCTGTGTGTGTAAAGTTGTGAATATGGGCTTTGTATTTATATTTTTAATGTTTTCTGTGTGGGAGACAGCAAACGCATCAACCACCTATTGTGAGGGGTGGTTTCTCGATGCTGTATGGATAATGGCTCTTAAGGATTGCCAATGGATATGTGAGGAACACACAATGACCTGAGGAGGACACACCTGGGAATTCCATGGCTCCTTGCCTAAAAAGGATATAGACTGGTTTGGTGATCATGTGATCAGCCCCATTTTGGGAGGCATCACCCAGGAGAACAATGGATTTCCCTCCACATGGGCAAGATTATAAATGTATCCTGGGGTGCCTCCATCTTGTCTTTGCTCCTGCCCTCTGCTCCAGAAGCTCTTTTGCCAAGGACAGAGGGCCCAGAAGGATTCGTAGACCCATCCTGACATAGGATGTGCTCCAGAGACTTTTAAGTTGGCAGTTTGTTACATCTCTGGTAAGAGCCTGCATCAAGAACTTGATGATTGATGTATGTAATGTGATTTCTTTAACAATCTGACTCTCAACCTTTTCTTTCTTTTATTAATAAACCATGTTTTACATTCTAACAGATTGGCACAGCATGCTCTTTTGGGTAAGATCTGAGGTGACCTGGAACTATGCCTTTGGGACTGGGTAGTAGTTGGTGAAAATGGTTTTCATAACCTCTCATCAGTGTGAGGTGGGTGCTGGTTGTGGCACTGGTAAAGCTGGATTGTCTAAGGGGATCTGTTTGTGCAACTTCATGCTGTCTAGAATGGCAGCTGAAGTGCTGTGTGTGACTGGTGTGGTGCCTTATAAAAAAGGAACCCTAGTCTTGAACTGCAAGTAGCCTTGGTTTTAATCAGTTTGTCCTGATTTGACCATCTCAGCAGTGCCCCCAGACAACCTGTTATATTACAGTTCCCATAATCCACCCAGATCCTTAACCAGGAGTTCTTTACAAAACATTCATGCTGCTCACATATAGAATGTACAGCTTTACTGAAAACACACCATAAAAAGGATGACAGCAAAAAAAGCCACCCTAAAAATAGGGAAAAGCAGAAAAGTGGTTTAGTTTGATACTGTATTTTGAAAAAAAATTAAGAGGTGGATTTTAAAATAATCTTAAGCAATTACAAAATGTAAACAGGATAGGGGTTTTGGAACTCTTGCACATTTCAATTCTATTTTGGACCAGGACAGGAAAAACCCTATTGCCCAGCAAACCAGGATATCCAAAAATCCCAGTCTTGGGAAGTGAAACACCTGAAGAGTGCTTGATCACACGTGCATCAACATGTTGTAGGGCTATAATTAACTCTTGCCTGATCTCCAGCCCTGGATGACATGTGATTTCTGCATCTGGGGAGGCTGGGCCTGAGCAGCGCAAGTTCTTTAGAAGTGTGCCTCCCACACCTGGACTGTGGCACAGCCCCTTCTGTTCCCTGAGGTCTGCTCCCATTCAGCCTCCTCTCCCTGAAGCTAAACCCATGCCCCACTCCTCTTTCCCCACTTTCATCCGTCTCCTCCCAACAAGTGTACTCCATCTGCACCTCTCTGCCTCTGAGGGTGCAAATGGCAGGGCTGTGTGGAAAGCAGTGAAGAAATGAGAGCAGAGAAATGGGGGCACCCGAGGGAAAGGGACAGAGAAGTAAGTGGGATTGGCAAGGAGACACAGCGATAGAGCAGGATGTGAGAGTGGGGCCTTGAAGCAGAGCATGAGAGGGGCTATGGCTCAGAGAACTCTTTTGGTGATGGTGCTCCAAAGGCACCAGGCTAGTAGTACATTTCCTGAGGGAGGTGTGCCACATCTTGTCTGGGGAGGTTTATTCTCCCCTGACTTACAATAACCATTCACCCATGTCTCCAGCCTAAGGCTGAAAATGAAACACAGCCTCCCATTGGCTTTCTTTCATATGGCAAACAAAATAAATGAACATTCTGTTTGCCTAGACATCCACTAGATACAATTTTTAGACTGACTCTATCTTGTGATGTTTGTACAGCGGCAACCACAAAGGAGTCCTGAAACTTATTGAGGTCTTTACATGTACTTTGGGGAAGGGGTACACATTAGGGATGTTAAAATGCATTTATTTAGGTAAATGTGTAACTGCTGATGTTTTCCCACCTCCCTCCCCCATGCTGCTGCCTCTAACAAAGGCAGGAGCATGGGGAGAGGGGGCTGTGTGTAACTGTGTACACATTTACACTTTCACAACCCTACTGCACACAGGTTTTCCAGGGGATGCATCAACTCATCTCGATATTTGCTTCTTTTTACCACAGACTACATAAAAAGCACTAATTAAGTCAGTACAAACTAAATTTTCATACAGACAAGTTGTTGTATACCATACACTGAAATGCAAGTAAAATACTTACATTCCAGTTGATTTATTTATTTTAAGTATATGGTAAAAAGAAAAAGTAAGCAATTTCTCAGTAACAGTGTGTTGTGACACTTTTCTGTTTTTATTCTTGATTTTGTAAGCAAATCATTTTTTAATGAAGTGAACCCTGGGGTATACAAGAAAAATATCAGACTTCTGAAAGGGACACATTAGTCTGAAAAGGTTGAGAGCCACCGCTCTAGACTATGTTGTAAATTATATGCATCCCATTTTTAGAGGAGTATGGATTACAACATTGTGTAGTCCATCCAAACTGCAATAAGAAGGGATTTCTCTGTAGAGTACATAAGACCGATCGATCACTCTTCCTTTTCTGACTGGTATCAGATCTGCCATTCAAATAAAAATAGTCAAAATTTTGAGATGCAGGTCAGATCAACAGCTTATCGGCTTCTCTACAAGATCTCATGAACTCACTACCTATCCCTGAAAGAGTGAAAATAATGTACAACATACAGTAACATTCCTCCTGTTTTAAAACCAAATTAAATTCTCATAGACCCGGGAAGAACCCCAAAGGGTCATCAAGTCCAATCTCCTGTACTCCTGGCAAAACCTTTGCATAGCTCAGGGGTGGACAATTTTGGAAGGGGGAACCACCTCACAAATTTCGGAAGTGGCTGTGGGCTGAGTTGGAAGGGGTGGGGTTGAAAACTACCCTGCTGGGTATGGTGACCTTATTTTCTGAACCAGCTGCAGCTAGTGAGAATGGTTTAATTTAAATTATGAAACAGATTAAGTGTTTTAACTTTCTCATGTTAGTTTATTAAACTTCAATTGAAATAAAGTAAAATATTATGTCCAACACAAAAGGTTTCAATGTTTTCTTTATTTATGGCAGGGATCGGGGGTCGCTGACCAACAAAAAAATCAGCTGAGGACCACACAAGCAAAAAAACTCCTCCAAAACCCCCCAACGCTCACTGATGTGGCCTCAACTGAAACACCTCACTCTTCTGGTGCCCCAGCCTCACAGGATGAGGGGAAAGGAAGGGGGAAAATGGAGGTTCAGGGTTTCCCATAGACCAGATTTACTTTTCTGGCGTTCTGGAGTTAGTGGATTTTATGGACCTCCTTAGGCTCTGGAGTAGGGACAAAAATTAGGGGTACAGTGCATGAGACAGGACTGTCAGAAAGTAGGATAGGGATGGGCTACAGGATCTGGGAAGGAGCAGGGGTGCAGAAGCAAGCTGGGAGTAGGGTGTCTGGCCAGGTGGAGCGAGCAGGGACAAGGGAGGGTGAAGTATGTGGCCGTGAGAAAGGGTGCAGGAACAAGGGAGGGTGTCGGAGAAAGGTGGGGGTGCCGGGTCTTGGGGGAGAGGGAAGTGACGGGATCGGGGCAGGGGGATCTGGGCATAAGGGGGAACCTTACCTGGCTTCATGCCCCCTTGCAGCAACAGCTGCAGCCCATGTCGCAATGACCATGCAGTCCAGGGCTGGTCCTGGAGGCGCCACGGCCGCAGTCATGTGGCCATGGGTCAGACCTGTAGGCCAGTGGCACCACTGTTGCAGCCATGCAGTCCAGGGCCAGAGGCACCACTGCCATGGCCATGGGCAGGCCACAGAGACCAGAGGCACCGATGCCGTGGCCATGTGGCCTGGGGCCGGCCCCTGGGGCGCCCCAGCCAAGGCCACCCCAGAGGTGCTGCGGACCTGGGTTGGGCCGGTAGGCTGAATACACTGCTGCTGTGGCCACGGGCCAGTGCTGGAGGCAGGAGACGCCACAGCCACACAGTCTGGGGCTGGACCTGAGGCACCGTGGTCACGGGCCGTCCCAGAGGTGCTGCTACTGGGGCCACGTGGCTTGGGGCTGACCCTGGAGGCACTGGTATGGTGGCCACACAGCCACAGCAGTGGCGTCTCTGGGGCTGGTCCCAGGCCATGGCACCTCCAGGGTGGCCTGGGGATGTATGGCTACGGTAGCAGCGCATCCAGGGCTGGCCCTCGACCTCATGGCCAAGGTGCTGTTGAGGAGCCTCAGCCACAGCACTGCCTCGTCTCCAGAAGCTGCGCAGGGAGAAGAGGAGTGGGGCTGAGCTCCTTCCCCGTGGCACACCTGTGACAGGTTGAGCACGCCCTTTAGGGAGCAGGGCCTAGAGTTGCCTCGCGGGCCGGATCAAAGCCCTAGGTGGGCCGGATGTGGCCCGCTGAGAAGCTTTTGCCCACCCCTGTATGGCACAGATCCTTCTCAGACCCTCATCACAATGCACCATTAACCTTTGCTGTTTAAGCTAAGAGAAGACTTCACCATACACTACACCCAATGTCAGTGTGTGGTTAACAACACACACCATATTACTATTTAGAAATGGACTAAAAAGGAAATCCACCAGGAAGTCATATCCATATACTGTACTTACAAACAACTCTATTA